TACCAATTCTTACCAGAGCTGAGACTGTGAAGTCCCTGGCATGCATTTTCTCTGTAAGCCAGTCTACTTTTCTCCTTGTATTCAGGAAAATAACAGCCTGTGTAATGGTCAGTGTCTCATACAAATCACAGAGAGTATCCAGCTTCCACTCCTGAACAGAACAAAGGAGACCAGGGAATGCACCATGCCACTGACATTTCAGTACCTAACAAGGATCCCAAACAAGGGATAAAACTCAAAAGCAACAACCAATTAAGCATGCTGTAATGTGCAATCGTACCCAGTATGACCGGAAGCATTGCAACAAGACATCAAGCAAATTTTCTGCATTGACTGTTGCACCAAATCTTAAGACACAGGACACTGGACATTAAGAAAGAGGTCCACCCTAGTCAATTTTGATCCAGTGCAGAGTGTTTTTCTTCTTCTTGCATGTACTCTACTAGCATTATTACAGAAGCCAAAGCTCAGCCTTGGTTTCTGTAATTTTAGCACAGTGCTTTAACAAGAAGGTAAGAGAACTTAGACTTAACTTGTCCAGCCAGAGCAAGTACAACCGATACCAACCTCTCTTTCAACATTAATGTAGAATTGCTTGATACCCTCCAGAGTCAGTTCTTCCTTCTTCACCAAAATACGTATGGGATCTCTCATGAATTTTTTGGTCACTTCCAGCACATCCATTGGCATTGTAGCCGACAGCAACACAACCTAGAATGCATTACTGGGTTAGCACTTGCCTAGGACACCAGCTTTGATTTAGCCAATTCGGCAGCTCACAGCTACACTGTAACGAAACCTGCACCCATCAATTTAACCATGAAAATGTTTTTTTACCTGGATGTTTGTGCTTAATTTTTGAAAGATCTCATAAATTTGATCCTTAAATCCACGGCTCAACATTTCATCAGCTTCATCCAGAACAAACATTTTGATCCATTTTGGTGCTATTAAATAAAAGAAAGTATCTCATGAAGTTTCAGAAATGCACCGAGTACTTTTTATTAACGTCACTCTCCTTTAGGACTAAGCTTTTCAGTATAAGTCTCTACAGCAACAGCAAGCACATTACTCTTACTGGGTGTGAGATTTATATTGGAAATTTATTATCAAGAGCAAAATTGAATTCATACTTACAAAGGTAGCGTCTGTTTAACATATCAAACACACGCCCTGGAGTTCCAACCACAATGTGCGGAGCCTCAGCCTGAAGTTTCTGCATTTCATTGCGAACATTTGTACCACCAATGCAAGCATGGCACGTTGCTCCCATGTAGTCTCCAAGGGCCAGAATTACCTTCTGAATCTAAAATAAACCCTTCCATTAGTAACAGCTCCTGGTACATTAAAGATTAAGCCCTATTATCATTGATGCTTATGGAATTTGGAAGCTAACAGAGCAACAAGCATTATGCAGCAGTTCTAAGGGTTAGAAAAGGCAGTTGCTAATGATTTTGCCCAACTGCTTATTATTGAAGTTGTTTACTAGCCAGCTTAAGTCAGAGGGGCACACAGGTTAAATTTTTGTCCTTGCTAGTTGAACTAGCTGAAGTGACTACCATGCATCTGCTATTCTCAAGTTTAAAGCAGGGCCTCCAGAAGTGAACTCAAGCTTTGAACTGCTAAGGCCTGCACTTTAAGCACTTGCAGAAAGTTCATAAAAGAGTGTACAAGTGCACTGCTATATGCAGTGTCTTCAGAGTAGAACAAGTGCTAAACATGCTGATCAGAGGTTCTTGTTCCACTAATCTGCTTTTTTTTTTTTTTTTTAGTTTTCTTCCTGTCTGATTTAGTATGCTTAGTTTTACCTTCAAGAATCTTCACTATAGCACTGGCATCTCAGTATATTCTAGTTGAAAAAGACAGGAAGTTGCATATAATCTATTTTCTACTCTATTTTGAGTTCTGTTCAACATTTCATCTTAAGTCCCCTCGTTACTGGTATACATTAATCCTAAAAACGAAGCATCCTGTAAGTTTTATTAAACACACCCTCTTAGTAGAACAGCATACCAAGCCTTAAAGGTGAACAGACATGCAGTAACATTCAGTCAGGAAAACATCACAAAAAGATACAAAAACAATGAAGTGACCACATGCGCACTGCAGTTTTCATGTTGCACAACTGCACGCAAGTTTAAATAGCTTCCAAAAAGTACGTTTTGTTTCCACTCAGAACACTGTGCTTTAATAACATCTTATTTTGTTTTTTCTGAAGATGCTCCCTCAGAACTATACACAGCATAGCAGCTGGCTCCTGCAACGCTGCCCCAGCACACCCTCCACAGGCACCAACTCAACTGTTCAATCAGGCAGAGAACTTGTGGGACAGAAGCCAGTTTATATCCCCCATTACTCAACACAAAAAGGGTTCTGAATGGATATCAGTTACAGCCCCTTAAAAAGTCTGTTTATTGTCTCACAGTTGTGAAACCTGAAACCTATGCAACACACAAACAGCTTTTTTTTTTTTTTTAACTACACTATCAATACCTGTTGAGCCAGTTCTCTGGTAGGGGCCAATACTAGTGCTTGGGTCTCCTTGAGATCAATCTCCAACTGCTGCAGGATGGAAATAGCAAATGTGGCTGTCTTGCCAGTACCTGACTGAGCTTGAGCAATCACATCATACCCTAAAAAAAGTAGGATACATATTTACTGCTCCCACACAGGTCATTCATATTTAGTTTTATTTTATTCCCTTTGAAATAAGTGATCAGTATTAAGAGTTCTCTCCATTTCAGGTCAGTCCCGAAAGATGGTGTACCATCATATCACTTGTTCAATAAGGATTAAAAATAGGTATTATCGCACAGAAATAAAGCAGTATATGCATTTTACAACATTTTCCTAATTATCCGATGTTGGTATCAACAAATGAATCGCCTACATACCTTTGATGCATGGAATAATAGCTCTCTGCTGAATAGCTGAAGGCTTCTCAAAACCATAAGCATAAATGCCCCTTAGAAGGGATTCTTTTAAATTCATATCATCAAAATTGTCAACAATCTCATTCCAATTGCTCTGTAATAAAAAAAAAAAGACAATATTAAATCCAACAACTATCTCTGTCAGCAATTAAATTCTCAAATCGGTTCACACGTGCTCACCTCAATGACGCCATCAGGGTCCATTCCCTCTGGGCCGCCATGGTCTCTGTCACCAAACAGAACAAACTGTTAGCACAGCGGCAACTAACGCGCAGAAGCTGCCAAAAGCCGTATCCAGAACCCGCGACAGATCATTCTAGCAGGCGCTTTGATATTTTGCAATTTGGTATTTTGGAGTAGGAACTCCCACCCTCCTCTCCGCACCGGCTTGGGTGCGACTCACCCAAGCCCTAAGCTCTCAACGCGACGCAAGATCATCCAAGCCTTCAAGCTGCGGCGAGGCTCACCCACCAGAGAAGCACGGCTCGATGCGGGGTGAACAGCCTCCCCCTCTAACAGCACGCCGGCAAGGCGGCGGCCGCACGCCCCAGCGCACAGCTCCCCCTCACGGACGGCATCTCTGCAAGGCGGGGCTCTGCGCGCCAGGCCCCGCAGCCGCGGGGAGGGAAC